TAAAGAATAATCAACAAATTCAAGAACAAGAATTTAATAATTCTACATTTAAAGAATGTAATAAAAAAAGTCATGGTACGTTCGAATATGGAATTACAAACTTTTTTTAACGATCTTATTCGCAATATTATTATGTAATATATTTTAGATAGTGAAATAACCTTGTTTGAAGGTGAGCAAAACAAAAATAACCCACAGTCAGAAAAAATGTCACGTAAATCAATAGATAATTCACAAAATATAAGCAGTTTAGGTGAGCTTAAGTTGTCTTCAAATTAAAAAAATTGTTGCCGAATTTGATTCCTAATTAATAAATCAAATAAAACACGTTTTATATAAATATGGTTTTATTTTAAAATTGGTTTTTTGCCAACAAATTTATTCGTTTCAATATTATATTTTATTTGTAAATAAATAGTTATGTGTGTGAAGTAGCTTCAGCAAATAATATTTCCAGATTCCGAACGTTATGATAATTTATTCAAAGAAGACTTTAGTAATGCTCGAAATATGCAGTCGCATTTAAGTAAGAAATACGAAATAAAACCAAATGTTTATTTACGCAATTGATAAAAAAGTTTAAATGTGTTCTAAATTTTTTATAGTTCTACAAACATTAGCTATAGATATGGCAGCTGTCAAGTGTGATTTGAAATGTATTAAAAAACAACTAATTCAAATTTTCAACGGATTGAAGCAAACAAAGGATACTCCAGTTTGTAATCCTAATACATTTTTGGAAAATTATAGCATTTCTTTACCAATTAGCAATTTTGCAGAATTTATAAAATTTGATGAAAGATTGAGAAATGATGATAGGCTACAAATGAATGTGGTAAGCAAAATTAAAGTATTTTATTTTAAATTTTATTAATACATGATATTATACTCTAATGAAAATATTGTAACATATATTCTTAAATTGTTTCTAGAATTGTATGCTTAAAATTTGCTTAGATAAAAACGAAATTATTACTAAATCATTAGTGAATATGTTAAAAAAAATTTATAACAGCCCAAATTGCAATGAGATTTACAAGTTCCAAAAAAGTCAATAATAAGTTTCTTATGTGCAACACAACCTTTTTTAATTGCATGAAAGATACGTGAAAATGTTTTCTTTCCTTTTCCTTTGTATATATAACAAACATTTTATTCAATTTAATTAATATTTAAGGAGGTTCTATCGGTATTCCGAAGTCAAATGAGGACTACGAAAAAGTATGAAAAAAACTGCTTTTAACACTCATAAATCTTATTCGTAAAATCATAATTTTACGAATTTTATGTAAGATGACTGTTAAATTGAGTAATTTGAAGTATAAACAATTTAATATTATTTATTAAGTAAAAAATTCAAGGCTTGGTTGAACAGAGTAGTAACCACTGAAGAGCTCGCACGTGGTCTCGCGACAGCAGAACGTGTGTTGACAAACACATGCTAACCTGCAAATGTAGCATGTTTACACTGAAATGGCGAGATGTCTTCATCAAATAAAGAAAGACATGCTATAAGAATGACCAGTGGTAAGCGTAGAGGTCAATTTGTTAAAAAGAAAGTGTTAGAAGCGAAAATATCTTAAAAGCAAGGAAAGAAAGAGCATTGAAGGAGGTAAGTTTATTGACAAAATTGTGGGTTATGTACGAAATCCCGCATGTCGGTGTTTTATGACGCATTCCGTATTTCGAAATTCGGGATTTCGTACCTAACACGAAATTGCAGCTTAATGTAATGATATTTTGTATATTATGGTTCTATTGTTATGACTTGTTTTAGAAAGGACATTTAAAAGAATTACAAG